ATATATATATATGCATGATATGGTCTTACAAAAGACTGGTCTCCTGTGGCTTTCTCATGTCAAACTTGTGCTCATCTTCAAAGCTATTCATAAGCAGAGTTTCATATTTCTCCTACATGCAACTCCACCCTTCTTAGCCCTGGCTCATTTTCTACCCACACTGCTCCACATATTTATTAGGGCTCACTCACCTTCCAGGAGAAGCTTCGGCCTGGAGCTCCAGGATTACAAAACCTACTTGGTTATATACAGAGGCAAAAAGAGATGGCAACTGCCATTTTTCTGTTCTGCCTGCCTGTCACTCTTGTTGGATCACGTGCTCATGATACACTATTGCCCTGAACGTACAGGATCATCTTTTAGTCAATGGCACAGAACTATTCAAACCCACCACCAAATTCATTTGGCTATACACTGTTCTTTTTCTCCAGCTATTAGATTATGTTTCTCAGACTTTCTAGGGAGGACCTATTTTATCCATTTCTAGCAGAAGAATTCCAAACTGGCTCTCATTGTGGCCTTCAAATACTGTCACATATAATAAACTTGTGATTCATATAACCGATCTATATGACAAGGGAAAGTAGGTAAGACCAAATAAAATAAGGACGAGATTTTGGCAGGCAATGTTTCCAGAAATTTTGAAGAAAATTAATTTATACTAACTCCTCACCTCAGTCTAGCATTAATTACAGCAACAGGGAAAACAGAAGCCTCAGTCTGGTAAAATTTATTTTTGTGACACTTGAATATCAATCTGTTTTCAGAAAATTATTTCAGAATGAACTAGGTGTAGTAAGACTGAGGTTCTTCATTTTTTTCCTTTCTATCCTCTGCATTAAACCACCTGTCATTAGGGGAAAAGGCCAGGCAGCGGCAGCAGCCTCTTTTAATAACACATCCAGGACTCATCCATGATACAAAAAAGTAAATTGCATGGCTGCAATTTCACCAAGGACAACGAAAGGCTTGCATGTTAGCACTGGCTTACTCTGCTGCCACTGGAAGCTCCTGCAGAAACATTAACCCTATTTTGTGTATGTGGGTCCCGTTACAAAAAGCTTAGCATTGCTTAACCTGATTTTCTTCACTGGATTTGGTTCTCATTTATGCACCGTATCCCAATTAAATAATTTATCATTTACAAGCTTCAGATATTCCCTGATATCAGGAAGGAAGAAGCAGCTGCTTAAAGGTATCTGCTGTTGGCATTAGCCAGACTGAGAGCCACAGCAGTCAAATACACAGATTTTCATCACTCCATCTTCCCTCAAGCATGGTGCCTCCCCTCCTAAAAAGCCTTTGTTGTGCTTACCTGGTTTTCACATCTACAGGGATTTCTTTCTTGACACTTGTTAGCAGTTTTTTAGTTTTCTGTTTTACTTGAACTGTTTCATTTTCAGGTTTTTCTGGTATAACTTTTCCCTTTTGTTTTTCAGGTTCCTATCAAAGGCATTATAACAACTTGTTACTATTAAAGAGAAGTGATGTCTCTCTTGCGTCACAACATACAGAGTATAAGCAGGGCTGAGGAAAGAAGGCTGTTTAAAGACATGAGCATTTTTGTAGCATAGAAGGTATTTTTTTTATTCCTTAGTGAGTATACCTCTAAAGCGTGGTATCTGATTTTTCCTATTTGGAAAAGGAGAAATGGAAATAACCAGCAAATTAATGTGTTCCAAGCAGCTTTGGTGTTTGCAAATACGTAACTCCTCAGGCCACAGCCTCTGAGTCGGCTTCAAAAGACCTACGCTGCACTTGACGTGCACAGCCCTGGCCATCTGAAACAGATTCTTCCACCAATCAAAGAAGAGAAGCAGCTTCACCACCCAATTTATTAGCTTTTTTAACTGTACTTTTAAGTGCACTGTCAAACAGCCATCCTGAAAAACCAAAGGTGTTTTTCTCATCACCTTCTAAACCGTAACTTTTAAAAGACATTACATGGATTTCTACACCCCATCTCACCCCCCCAGCTAGAATCCCTGTCAAATTTAAGTTCAAATTTAAGACATGTCAAAAATTAGTCTTAGTGGTCTTCTCCTTGCCATTACCTTTGCTTTGGTTGGTTCCCCAGCAAATGCTTTAGGACAGAACATCTGCAACAACCTGACCACTACACAAATTGTTACAGCTTTAGTCTATTACCTAGAAGCATGTAAGCCAAGTGAGTAATATAAAGGTAGGGGTATTGTCGAAGGCAAGTCAGTTAACTACCTGCTGACAAGTTACCACCCCTGAATTGGCCCTTTGAAACTGCTGAAATGCATGGGTTTAGTCTGCACCTTAATTACTGAGTAAAATTGATGTCTGTATGTTGGCAATTCATTCTGCAAATAGAACAGGCTAGTAGTGTGCAGAGAGACAATTACCCCGATGCTGCTGACAACCTGTGGCTTATTGAAGCCAGTCACTCGGGCACTTTCAATCCTGAGACTGCACGATTCAAGCATGTTCACACTCACAGATGAACAAATCTTACAGAGAAGAAGTGAAGGCAAGGGTTTGGAAAGGTATTTTTAAATTAACATTCTTCCTTTGTTAGGTATTATATGAAAGCTGGGGGTGGGGTGGTGCGAAGAGACTGTTCCTCCTTTAACAGATGACCCATCAGCTAAACAAGAGCCTCCTTTTATGAGCAGTGCTGTACCTCTTTGAGAAGTGGTTCTGTATCTGGGTTGGAGGTTTCAGTTGTGGTTGAAGAACTGTCATCATCTGCCATGGAATCCTTCAGTTCATCCTCCTGTTGCTTTCCTTTCCCTCTTCTGTCCTTTTCTTCCCGCTTCTTCTGTGGCTTAGCCTTGCGCTGAAGCGTTTTCCCTTTCCCTAGAAAGGTAAGAGTGCTTCAGTTTTCAGCAGCAGTACTCAGAGATGGGCTAATTCACTTCATTTTGGCAGTTAACCCATATGATTAAGCCTCTGAAATTCATCACTCGTTACAATACGCCAACCATTTACAGCCACCTCAGACCAAATGCGAGCAATAGCATCACACCTGAAGAACCCTGATCTCCACCACTGCATTTATGCTCCTGAGCCCCACTTCCATCGCCTCTCTGCAGACAGTGAGCACCTGGCTACTGTGATTCTTCCCTGCTCTAGTCCTGGCATTCCTTTTAAGCACTTCAGAATCCAATTTGACAGTTTAACCATGCAAGACTAGATTTGAACATGAACTGCAGAAGCTGGCACAAGCTTTATAATCCAGACAAATGAAGAACAGAAATTATTAGCACATTCGTCAGTTAAGAAGAGAAACCAAACCAAACACAACTTGCAGTAAGACTAGAGCAGATGAGAAAAATCACTAATAGTATTTTAGCAAAGATGTACAAAACCCCAACTCCCCAAACCTGAAAATCTCCCACCTGACTATACTTTCTCCCCTTGACATATTTCATTTTTTCAGAGTAGATTATCCTAAGAGGCATGACTAAGCTGACTGTGAAATAGTTTGGCTTGACATATTAAAGTGTTACTGCATCTCCAAGTAGGGAAAACAACACGTTAAACACTCCAGGGGATGTTTAATCAATTTTCTTGAAGCAATCCCCATACAAGTAAATAAAGCTACTCTAACAATTACGTTTTCCCCTGCATTTTCTACGGCTAACTGAAACATAGCATGGGATAAGCTCAAAATGTAGAGGTTTAAGAATCTTCCAAATTAAGGTCCTGGCACCATAACAGCTGTGCCATCTCATTTGGCAAAATATCCCTCAGGTAAAGTTCGTACCAAAACATAAGTTTGCCTTCAGTACTTTGGCAAATATCAAATACATACCAAAGGGAAGTGCCTTCAAACTTTGGGGTTTTTTCAGACTTAAATGTTTTCAGTATCAACAACTACAAAAATATTGGAAATAAAAATATTCCTTTTAGTGTGAATACAAATAAAAGTGTAAATACAAGTGGATCTTTGTATGGTAACGTTCTAAAGGTTGGCTTCCAGCTTATTGGAGGCATTGGGGGTTTGCCTCAGGAGACCTCGTTCTAGGATTTACTTCAAATTTAGTCTACATTCAGGACTGCTAAACAGTTTAATGTTCATCATTAGAAAATCTACTTAAAATGTTATCATGACATAAAAATGTAACATAAATCATCTGTTTGACCAAAACCTAATCTAGCCTCCAGAGCAGTCTGCTAGGATCCAAGTTTCAGGAAGCTGAGACAGAACACTATGGAGATGGGAATCCTGCACTGGATGTTAGGACAAGCTGTTGTAGTCCAGAAGCTGCTGCTTCTGCAAGCATCTGTAAGTACAGTTCTGGCTATTTAGATAAAACCAGACAGCAGAGTGCATATGCAGATCCAGACAGATCCTGGAACTTCCCTGGGGTTCTACATTTTTAAAGAGGGCAAATGGAGATGTTCAGGTTTTATTGGATGCGCTGAGCTTTTGTAAGTTATGGTTTACAGATACCGCTGTAAACCACAAAGCTTGTCCAAAAAAAAAAATCTACATGCATAAATCTGATGTATTGATCTATGATGATGCAGAGGTCAAGAAAACCATCTGAACTGCAAAATGTAACATTCATAATGTATTTTGCAATACAGAATATGTTTAAATATTCAGTATACCACCATGTCAAAGCACAAGTGATCCAAAGCCTCTGTAATGGGAGAAATAATATGAGTTTATCTGAATGAATTTGTAATCAGAAGAAAGTTGCAAAACAGGAAAGTCATGCCAAAAAAAGCAGAACCCATGCATTATCACATCCACTCTGAACTGATTTAAGAACTTTCTGCTCATTGCTGCTTAACAGACTGAAGTTTCCTCTTGGTGGTACATGATCATACAGGTGCTTCAGGGTTTATAGGCCTTCCCACATTCGTTTTAATTTTAGTAAGCAACACAGCACCAGCACTGTTTCTGTGCAACAGTGTTGTTAGGAAAAAGTGAAAAATTCATTAGAATTAAACATTAAATTTATAGCCACAGAAGCCCAGGACACAACTGAAATAGCTATTACAAGAAGTATGATTAGAAGTTCTACTCTAATGAAGGGTTTATAAGAAGGAATATAACTGACATAATTCTGTAAGATGAATGTAGCTAATGTATGAAATGCAACACGCTACTTTAAGCATTAGACAACTGAAGAGATGCATAAACAATTCAAACTAACCTCATGCAAAGATGAATGCTACTTTTAAGCACAGGTGCCATATATGCATTTGCTGACCCCCTAGCTTGAATGATTTTCTACAACTGCAAGTCTGGGCATGAGGAATTCCATTCCCAAGCAATACCACAGGGATATGCCCATCTCTCCCTCTCCCCCTCCTCCCTTTCTCCCTGAGTTTTACTAACACACTAGGGTAACTTCCTTTTCCTTTCAAGCCCCAAGTACAAACACTGGAGGTAGGAGGGATGGAAGCCAACCCAAAGGCAAAGGAGTAGCAACTAAAAGCATCTTTCTTCTTCAAAGAGTCAGATGCTTAAACATTCACACCTGCTTTCACCAAAACATTCCAAAAACATTGCATGAAGAGTCACAATAGCATTGTACAGAACATCACTGCCATAAAATAAAGGAAGTGTTCAAGATACAGGCACATCCAGCAGGGTAGGGAACAGCTGAGAAGCTATCACTTTCCATGCTATGAAAACATGACCTTTACAGTTGATTAAATCTTGTTCTGTGGTTTATATAATGAATCATCCTGTTAAAAAAAGCAGAATTGCATTACCTTTGTTTTTTGCTAGTGGAGATGGGGGCTGCTCTGTAAACACATCTGGGGGAGGGGATTCTGGGTGGTCAAAGTCTTTTTCCATAGTTTCTATGAGCCCGGTGAGATCCGAGTCCTCCGAGCTGTGCCTTCTGCTCCTGGCACACTCGCTGTGAGGTGGGCTGAGGAGCGGGAGCTGTGGCAAAGCACCGTCACTCTGCTGCTCTTGCTGCTGCGGCCCAGGTGCAAGGGGTTGCTGGAGCGGCTGCTCTGCCAAAGCTGCTGCCTGCTGCTGTGTCGGCTGCTGGTTCTGCCTTGTCCCCTTGGCTCTTTTGCCTGCGGCATGAGTCTGAACTGTGGCACCCGAATCCAAGGTAAAGGGGCCCCCGGCTCTGTTTATTGACTGCATGGAAGCTCCTTGTGCTGAAGTCCTGTTAGGTATGCTTGAACTGGGTTTGGATTTGATGTTTTCAGCATCAGGTGTGTTTCTATTGCTGTGAAGGTGTGCTGTTGCATTGCATTGTTTATGATTCCCTGCACTGGATCGTGAAGATGAACTGCCTGCTCCATAGATCCCTCTGGATGAACTGTGATTAGAATCTGATCCAAGTGTGTTCAAGCTGGAAAAGCAACAAGTGTTTAAATATACTCTACAATGTTTCCATTCTTCCACCTGAGAAAAGAATCGCTGTGCCCAATAGAAACCTCAAACTACACTGTTCTTGGCATATAACCGACAAAAATGCCAGCACTAGTTTGACAAGTCAGCAGCCTTTGCTATTTCCTGTGCACTTGCTCACTGGACATATGAACAAAACTCTAGTACAATGACAGTCCATATGTATGTTGGAGGGAACACTGAAAGGAGAAAATCTTTTTTGAACCCAAGACACCAAAGGTAGGAACTTCAGGCCTGCAGTGTTTCAGCAGTCTAGACCTTTCTTTTTGGAGAAGATTAACAGGAAGCTTGACAGGGTTTGGTTTCGGTTGGGTTTTTTCATCTCCTTTTTCCCCCAAAAGATGCATATTTCTCATAATGACAAAATCCATCTTTTATCCAAGCCATCTTTTTATAAGTGACTGTGAGAATCTTAATTCACTCACCTGCTCTTAAGTCTAACTTTCTTATTAGCCCTGTAACTAAAGAGGAAAAAAAAGGGGAAAACGTTCCACAAAGCCCCCAAACATACACTTACTTTCCGTCAGATGAAATTCCAACTATTCTCCTGAGATCAAGTGGCCTTCCCATATCAAAAGGAGGGTTTGAGGCCTCAAAGGACAAGCGTCTTCTAAATGGCTCCCAAATTCCTTGAGCTTCTAGATAGGCTGTTCCAATTACCAAGAGAAAGAGTACACTGCAGGGAAGAGAGGCAGTCATCTCAGTATTGCTTAGTTTTGAGCATTTTAAGGTAAATGAATCTAACCACACGAGGCAAAAAGATTGTATCTAGTACTGAAAATCGCATCCAAACCACACCTTTGTCTGATAGAAACATAAAATGCATGAATCTAGCATGATATTACACATCACTGACACTGAGAATGGAAGCTAGACACGAGTCTCACACGCAGTTGCCAAGAATATTAATCCAAAAGAAAAAAGAAAGAGATATAATTAAAGCATTAAAATGGCTTCCAAGTGGTCAGCAGGTCTCGCAGCTCATGGGTGCAATCCCATTTTAAAAGCAGAGACCCTCTGCAGAGAGTTGTACTGCTGCTCAGGGAAGTAAAATTCCAGAGCATTATTTCAAGGGGTTTTACGACTATCTGCGTCTGCTGCAATACCGTGTTCGAGTTCTCCACTTACATAACGCACTGCAGTGAACTACATTTTTGAATGAAGCAATAAAACCACTGCAGAGACCTTCATCGCACTGCTATCGCTTTCATCTTCTAACAGGTGGGAGGAGACACAGTGACGATGACTAAAGCTTGCCTTGCCTATTACCCTAGAAAGTTTACGAGAAAAGAACTTTAAATTAGCAACTTCAGTTTCTGTTCTCCCCACTGTTCTGACTGCCAGTTTTTAAGCCAAATGTATGAACCCCAGCACCAATTCACACAAAAGGATGAGATACCTCTTGCCTCATGTTAGCTGAAAGAATCTACTCCAGATACCATTTTTAACTATCACCAAAACCACAAGCAACTCTGGAGACCAAGTCAGCTGTTGAGAGCTGGTTATCGGTGCTTTTTCCCCCTGCCCCAGGGATTAAAAAGGATTCTAGATGCAGAACCAGATGGGAGAAGTTTGGAAAGACAGCTTTCATCCAAAATGTTAATGAGCAAGAGCAAAGTTAAAGAAAGAGGGGGATTTTTCAGACAAGCTTATATAAAGTATTACTCAAAGGAGTAATGCTTGTTTTGGGTGCCATGCCATCAAAAATGGAATTATCTTTGGGATGTAAGGAGTAAGACATAATCTCTTTCACTTGTTAATTGCTAATCCACGATGCTAGTTGAAAGTTTTATAAGACTGATGCCAACAAAAGCATCACATGTCAACCACCATGGTGCTACATAAGCTTGGAATGGAGTGCAAAACCTTCAAACAGTTTTGCTGGACGGGGTGGCACCCTTGCCCTCAGCCCCATGGCACCCCCCTCATGGCATCAATGCTGGGCTCTGTAGAGGTTGTACAGGGGAGGCTGCAGCAAAAGGTCACCTTGAGCTGACTTTTTTTTGCTTCTCCTCCTCTGCCACTCTCTGGGTAAGGACTCCACTCCCTCTGCTTGGGCCAACTTTGGTGTTTTGATAAATGAATATGAGCTTTGAAATGAAAACATGGAACAAATCTTGTTTTGCATCTTTTTAACTACCCTTTCTGGCGGTGGGGGGTGGGAGCAGCGGTGGTTTGGGGTTTTTGACTCTCAAAAAAATTATTATTGAAAAGAAAAAAAAAAAATAGTAATAAATGTGGAACTAGCCTGAAGTGTTTAGTCATCGAAATGACAAAACAAATTAGTGTGAGGAACACCACACAGTGGGGAATATTGGTCTTGATACCCAAGAATTACCTGAGTCCATCCATCTTCCCTTCCTCCCCCCACCCCACCCCCCGGTTTTATCTTGGAGCACACATATGCCCAGTTGGTAAGTTCTTCACAAAAAGGACTGGCTCTGTTGTATTTCTACATATCCTATTAAGTTGGACTTAAAAACATGGAGCCACAAGTACAGTAACAATCCAAACCACTAGTGATTTAGGGAAGGCAGCAATGAAAACATGAACTAGACAAACTCCTATAGTGTTCATTCCTAGAAATTAAGGACAGCTTCACAACAATATGGAAGTATTGTTTTAGGGGCAACTAGCAAACCCCTATGTGATAGCATCCTAAAAGTCAGAGGCTGTCTACACACAAGATCCTTAGAATATTATGAAATGGTTACATCAGGACTCTTCTCTAGTTTGCTGCTAAGAAGGAGGTTTTGTACTTGTTGGAAAAAGACATAGTGAGGGAAAGGATTAGTGTTCTGTATTATTTTGAAAAGCCTAATTAACACATACAGTACATAAAAAATTATCCATGTAAGCTACACCTATAAGCTGACAAGCATTATTCGTGCTACCAATAAACTGAAGAGAAACTAAACTTAAAAATTTCTAGCAAATGTACAGAAGAAAGCACTTAACTCAGCACTCTCCTAAGTAATGCAGTGCTAGGAAATTCCCTAAGTGGACAGAATTTTCCTGTTACTTAGGAAAATGCATTACTTGGGTAAGGGCTGAAGAGTCAGAAAAGAAAATGAAGCAGACTGTAACTTTCTTTTATCAGTCTCTAGAAGGAAACAGAGAAGATAAAGAGCCGAACTGAACATCTGTGTAATACGGTACAGGCAAAAATGCCAGAGCCAGTATCTTAATTAAAAAATAAAAAAAAGGCAGGAATAGTACATGTCTGTGATAATGCTTTGGATCTGCAGCACACAGAAGGAGCCCTTTTTCATCACAGGCATCTACAGCAGCAATCCATCTCGCTCTAAGACAGCAGCTTAACACTAATGAAAAAGGAGAACAGCATTTGTTGTTATTGATAAGTAACAACTTGGCTGCTATGTGTCTATGCCAGGGCTTTCTCTGGATAAAGGCAGTGAGGGAAAATGTCTCACATTCACGAGGTGAGCAGGGACGCACTGTTTATAACCTCAGATTTCAAATAAAGAAAGACAGGTAGAAGCTAGGTGAAGAAAATGTGGTGGAATTTTCAACTCATATTTCAACCAGCCATAGTTAACACATGTCTGCTTGCTGACAAAAAACTGCACTAATATGCTACTACGTAACCTCCAAGTGCACAGTGTTGCAAACAACACCCTTCAGTTCTCAGAAATCCCATTATTAGTATCACCAGTTGCCTGTCACAAACAAGTGGCAGCGAAGTTTAATTCATCCATGGCATCTAAGCTCATTACAGTCACTGCCTCCTATCTCTCTAAAGCACCATACTCCAGAAGGATGCTTAAATTTCTATGGGAATTCACAGTTAGCAGTACTTTCATACTTAATTTGATTCAAGTTTGGCTTAATTAATCAAAAAACCTACACATTACCAGGGTAAACAGAAGTACATACATCACTTCAGGAAATAGACCTAAGCCAGAAGTGTATTATTTTATAGTATCATAGAATGGTTCGGGTTGGAAAGGACCTTAAAGCTCATCCCAGTTCCAACCCCCTGCCATGGGCAGGGACACCTTCCACTGGACCAGGTTGCTCAAAGCCTCATCCAACCTGGCCTTGAACACTGCCAGGGATGGGGCAGCCATTCTGCCCTCCGTCTGAGCAGGAAGTCAGTACTCCCCAGCCTTAAACTTTTAGTTCACACTCAATCCATAGGAGCATTTATGTCTTCTCCTTTTTGACCTCTACCTGATGGGGTTTTTTTTTTCACCAATAATTTACACCAATATAATTTTACACCAATGGTAGTACGTACTGAATACGTTATCTCCTTCTCTGTATTCAAGCAGTGGTAGCTTGTGCACACATACTAGTAAGAACATACAGACACACACACTACCTCATTATTCCTGAGATGATTATGTACAGTGCCAGTTCCCAGTTGGGTCTGGGTAGTGCTTCTGCACACGTTGCTAACATGTGATATGGAAGAGATGCATTCAAGATAAATACAAATTCAGAGCCTCCTGCAGTGACGAATTTTAATTCCCTTATAACTCTGGAAGCAGTGAAATCAGGTGTAAACCTGGAAACAAAGTAAAGCACATTAGAATGTTTCGTATGAACATATGAAAGTTTGAGGTAATTTATATTAATCATAAATTAAAACAAAACAAACGAACAACTCCACCAATTACTGCCATGACTGGCAAACATTACAATTGTTTGTCACAAACAGCCCTACCAGCACAACTAATAACCATCCTCGCAATTAGCCTGAAGATATTTATGAGTGTCTTTCAAATACCTCAAGATGTGCTTCACTAAGTTCATAAACACCTATACTTAACACATCTGATACGCCGTATGAAGATGTAACGACTGAAAATTAGTTTTGACCATATCTGTTATAATAAAGCTATGGATGCAGTAAAAGAAAATAACAGCAGCTGTAAACAAGCAATGGAACTGACCACTGTGTGAGCTATGATGTTTTTAAGCTCTTCACCTTTAAGTCACAACATCATGCCTGTTCAAAAACACCACCCCTACATTCCTGTCTCATCACAGACTAGGATTGTTGCAGAAATCCTAGTGAAGCTTCACTGCCTGTAACATCTTATATATCCTCTTGCAGAACAGAGGCATCTTCTGAACTGTTTAGATACTGTACTCTGAATGTTAACTTTACATCCAAGCAGTTAAAAAGATCAGTGTTTGGTGCAGAGATCTTTTACAATAAAAACTGACAGAATTAAAGCATTATTATCCTTAAGGCAACAGACAAAACATTTAAGACTGAAATGCTGTGCAATACGGTAATAATCCTTAAACTAAAGGCTCTTTTCTACATATTGCAACACACCAAACCCATATGTAAATCTGTATCTCCTTCACCCAAGTGAAGGAGATGTATAAAAATTCCATGCAGTAACACTACTCCAGCTCAGTAAGTTACACTCACTGAGTAGTAATAAAAGGAATACTATAGTTAGTCATGCAAACTTGAAGTTATTTAAAAATCATTCTAAGACAGAAAGATGTCGTGTTTTAAGTCATATAAAAAGACCCACCAAACACTCAAAGCTTAAGTAAAAAACCTCAGAATTTAACCAGCAGAGGTTCCATCTGAAGCAGAATAAGGTATACACAATTCCTAATGCAAGACTCCATTTAGACATAAGAAAAACACTTACAATATGACAATGTCTTTAGAGGCATTGGCGCTTAGTGCAAACTCGTGACAGTTAACTACTTTAAATCCGTATCCTTCACATGTATAGCCACTGATTTCCATGGTTTTCACATTAATCTGCAGCTGCCCTGTGTTTTCCACTTTAAATGTCCTTCTCAGTGTGAAATTTGGTTCTTTGTATTTCATTTCTAGAAGCAAACAGCAGTAAGTGGTTAGTGTTGAGCTAGACAGATATCCTTCACTATATTCCGATTCTAGAGCAGAAGAGAGTCCTGTCAGTACTGTAGCAGAAAAGGGACTAGCGAGGCCCATGGAAATCTTTATGTAACCTGCAGGAATGTATCTCTGCAACCAGACTCTCATCACTGTCAAGGTAGGGAATGTGTACAATTCCAGAGCGCTCTAACTCACTGGGGACAAAACAGAAACCTCCAAACCTCTGACAGCACTGCTGCCTCACAAAAAAAAACAAACCCAAAACAAAACATCTAAGCTGCAAAGTTCTTTGATGTACTGCTCAGTAGCCTGGTATTCTGCAGAAATGCCAGCATGAGGAGAATTAAAACTTACTCTTTTGTGTCTTAAAAATAAAATCCATGGCTGAGATACTGTCCTGATTTTGGCTGGGATAGTGTTACTTTTCTTCCTATTAGCTGGTGCAGTGCTGTGTTTTGGCTTTCGTTTTAGGATAACGCTGATAACACACCAGTGTTGTACTTGTGGCGAAGTAGTGCTTACTCTAAATCAAGGACTTTTCAGTCTCATGCTCTGCCAGGGAGGAGAGGCATGAGGAGCTGGGAGAGAGTAGAGGCAGGACACCTGACCCAAACTGGC